AGAAACTGTTTGGCTTGCCTTTTTTCATGAAATGCATGAAAAATTCATAGTTTCCATGGCTTTGACCTAAGCAATGAAGATCCTCGGTTATTTCTTGCTTGCCTCTTGAGTCTGTTCACAGACCGTGCTCAAATCAGACTCTGTAACACCATGGCACACCTAATGAATGACAGAGCAACAAACATTACATGATCACTTCAGACTATTTGTCCAATCATTATTACCATGTTGATGCAATAAGTTTCACCTGTTTCCCAGGATCTCTAGTCCTGTTAGGGAGGAAAGACCTGTAATGAAGGCCTGCCTTGTGCATTTACTTGCATATAGGTGCAGGGGTCTGCGATAAGACTTAGCATCTCTCAGTAAGTGATTTTTCTTTCTTCGGCATTTGGACCGAAAAGTCTATAGATAAAGAAGAGAGTCAAAGAAATTGCTTACAAATATTGGTCAGGGTCATGCTGAAGACTCCTTGGAAGCTTCCAGAGTATAAAATCAGTCGCATGATGTGATGTCATAAAATATACTGCTCTGGCTTAAGAAAATTGCATATTTTTGTTGAGCAAGGAAAAAAAAAAAGCTGCACTGCTGTTTTAATAAGGGCACCCGAAAAAAATTCTGATTCAGAGTTTGTTTTCATAGCTTCATTGACTAGTGCTCTTTAAACCCAAGCATTTGTTCTTCTTTCTTTTTTTAAATGTAGATCAACCTTAAATCTTTTGTCATAATCACCAGTCTATTAAGATTAACATCTTTTGTTCCTCTTAGCACCTTCTTATCTAAAAATTTTATGAGGCTACCATTTTTGGCTATATAATTTAGAATCCTTTTCCTTTCAGTAACTGGTATCTTGCAACCCTTTTCTGTCTCCCAAAAGTTAATTTTTTTCAGCCTGAAGGTGATGGCTTTAGTCTACCCAAACACTGAATGATTTCCTGCTGTTTTTATAAAGCTCTTTTTAGTTTGGGGCTGTCTGGGGGTGAAATGCTATCAATGATTTAACATTTCATGATGTTTTATAATTTCAGAAAGTTCGTTTTCAATCTAGCACTCGAAATACAGAAAATTTTTCTGGGAAGAACGCTTATAACAAGCCCACAAGATATCAGGTAATAACAGCATGAAAGCGAGAGCAAGGGAAGAGATCTGTCAGTGAGCAGCTCTGATCTGCAAGGATCGTATTTGCTTTCTTACAGTGGGTGCCATCCTGTGACGTGTCAAGCCGTGACTTAGCACTGTCATGGGACTGGGATGGGACGCTTCACGTTCCCAGCACTTAAAGACAAACGCAGCATACCACCTATGGAAACGCACATGGTGTTAACGTTTGTCGTGCTAATTAATTCCAGTCAAGGGTATTTAATTTAATACAAGAAATGTCATTCAAGCTTTAATTCCCTCGTCTTGCATTGACAGCATTTCATTTTGTCATGACACAGCATCATCTCTCTAGCTTTTACATTAACATTTGCATGTGCTTTCTCTGGCAGTGACTTGTCCTACCGAGCTAAACCTGCAATGTGGTATGGTTCAAAAATACCTGTGACTGCAGCGGCGGCACGGGTTACCCAAGCCGCAGCATGAACTAACACAACTGTCTGTCTCAGCTTGAGTGTTCATGCTAGCAGAAGTATTATTTCTTGTGCAAAAGGTGGATTTTGTGTGTGGTAGCTCAAGACAATAAGCAGAATGTCCCCCACAGGATTTTTTCCTTCTTTTTTATATAAAGTGAGAAGGAACGACGATAAGCGAAATAGCTGGTGACATCGACATCAGAGTTGAGGAAAATAATAGTTTAGTGGGATATAATGTGCAATGGCAATTCTAGGAACGGTTTGTCTTCTCTGTTGGTACAGCATCCAGCACAGTGGGCTCCTAGGCTGTGAAGCAACACCAGTAATGAATTTACACTGTTTTTAAAAGGTGTCTAGGCTCTTGTGCCAAGACAAAAGGTGCAACTGAAAATCTCAGTTAGAAATGACGTTCATTCACCTTAGCCATCTGGAGCCGTGGACTCGACGTCTTCAAAGGCAAAAGGGAGAGAGATAATTATGTCTCGCTTAGAATGGCACTTAGGCGTTTTTGTCATTTTCCTGTAAATACAGACCTACAGGTAACAGAAAGATGTGTCAACCTCTGCTGGACTCACTCCCTTCCTGTAGCTATTATTTCTAAATCAGACCGCCTAATGTTTGTGGTAAATTAGACCCTTCTCTCCAAGGGAAATAGGTAGAAAAAGGCAAAGGCAGCTGTGAAAAATCTATCTATTTTTGAAGTGATAACTACATGTTTTTTTGCTTTAATAATGTTCCTACTAGACTTATCTTCAAATGGTATTAGAAACTTTCAGTTGCTGCAGGAAGAAATTGTCAAAATAATACAAGAAAAGTGTAATGGTCTTGATTATCTAAATATAAAGAAGAGCAGTTTGATAATCTGGCCAGCAAGGCTTTCTTCTGCAACTTTGAAAATGGTTGAAGTAGTGGCTTCTCTCTGAACTGTTTTCTTCAGTGAGATTTTTCAAATGATGCATCTGCAGTCTGTGTACCTCAAGTGTAGGTACATAAGTACAGTCCTCTTGAGGGATAATGAAAATATACAGAACTTAAAGATGCAGTACTTTAAAAAGTAGGAGGAAAAAGGCAACATGCAGCTACCATGATTTGGAGATATACTAGTCTAGGCAAAATTGTGATGCCTTTACCAGACACTCTTGAGCTGAGACTCTAAGATAGAACATTGCTAAAATGTTGTGTTGGACTCACAAGTTTTTCCCGCTTTCAGAGCTGGCAGCCTGTCATCCTATCAACAACATCTTGGTCTACAAAATTCAGGAAAGGATTTTTCAGGAGAAAAAAACAGAAGGAAAAGTTTGCACTTTCAAAGGCTCAGAAGTATCTTTCTATCCTGTTTGGAGAGATACAATAGCAAAGAGGTGAAAAATGAGCAAATTCCTTTGCTCACGTCTCTCCTGAGCTCTTCTACTACCTGCTTTATAAAGTGTAGGTCTGCGATCACCAGGTGACACCTGATCCCCCAGGCAGTGGTAGACCTCTCTGCTGACTGTGTTCAACAAGGACATGAAGGCGAAAAGCATTTCCTCCCATTAGTACATTATGCCCTGGGACATACCATAGGCATGCCAAGCAACATCTGCAGTGTCCAAAAACAGAGCATCATCCCTCCTTATTTAAAAAGAAACCTGTGAATTAAATAGCAGTATTACGGACTGTAACGATGTGATCGATCTTTAAAGGCCCATATAAATGAAGGCAGGATAAGACATCATAAATAGTGAAGTGGAAAGGCATCACGATCCCTGCATTAAAGACAAGGAACTGAGGACCAGCAGGACTTATCAGCCCCAAAAACCTAGCTATTGAACCAGAAACTGAGCCTAGATCTCCTGAGTCCAATTCCAGTGCCTCAGGCACAGATCTGTCCTTCTGTTCTCACCCTCCACTCTGCTAGAATCTATACCAGGTGTTCAGACAGCTGAGAGCAGGTACAGAGCTTGAAGGCTGTGCCAATAAATACATAGAAAGCCTGAACTCAGTGCAGAGAACTATAATTTACAGCTGACTGGCCTGTTCCTAGAACCCTTCCTCTGAAGACTGTTTGACCACTGATTGATAGCAATTAAGGTGCTGGCGTGAGGAAAGTCTCGGCTGCTGTGTTTTACACAGTATAAAAGATTTCTAAAATCTGAAGAATTTCCATTAACTTTCAGCAAAAGGAGGAACAATATTTTTAAGAATTCAGGTCTGTTTGAATTGTTTCAAGTTTAGCATTCATTATCAAGAGGCTGTCTGGAAGGTTTATTCGGAATTTCCCTACTGTTACAATGATTATATTGCTAAGAAGCTATTTCATTTACTGTAGCTGTAGAGAATAGAGCTGGGGAGAAGAGAAGAAGCAAGGCTTAAAAGCCGCAGTCTAACACTGAGGCAAAACTGAATCGTTTTCTTAGAGCTATAGGCAGAAATATCTACTAAATGACTAAGGTGACTCTTGTTAAAAAGTGGTCACATTTCAAGTATTAGAACAAATCTGATTACAACATATATTTGACAAACTAGGCACCCTTAAGCTTTTGACTTTCTTCACATGTAGCGGTGAATACAGGACAGCGTTTGAATAGTGTCCATCAAACATATAAGCTGTATGAGAACTGGAGTAGGTAGATGTTATGTTATCATATTTTTCCAGGTAATACCAGCATTCATTGTATGTTGACTCCTTGTTTTATTCTAAATTTCCTGTGTCTGTCGTCTGTTCTGAAAAAATCTTTTTTTTTTTGGATCCAGGATTTCCCTACTTTCCCCCAAACATTACTTCATTTATGTTTTCTCAGGTGGCAACCCTACCTCCCTCTGGATTCTACTACCTTGGCCATCTTCAACACACCGTACGTGCTCTGTGCCTCACCTGTTTCCCTAACTGATCCACTCGGTTAGCCAGATACCTCTTTGATTCGAGGATAGAGTCTTAAACATCCCGTATTCCACGGCTACATGACCTATATGCAAATAACTGGATCCTTTTTTTGTCATTCACATGCCTTTCACACTGCTATAATTCATACCTACCTACTAAGAAAAAGAAAAGGGTGGGTGCTACTAGGAAAAGGAAAAAGGGCAGATGTATGAATTCCTTAATTCATGTTTCAAACTCTTTGCAGTATTTTTCAGTGATGTTCAAAGCAGAGATGTGATTGCTCAGTGAATAGGTAAGCCTGTGCTGGAGAGAGGCTTTCCCTCCAGCAACGGCCTTCCAGTCAAGGGCAGGACATTTGTGCATCTGTTCTTGGATGTTCACTTAGCTCTCCTGTGTTTGCAGAGGATGCGGAAAGCCTCGAGGGCACAGAAACATTGGTTGAACTTATTACTCTTTTCTCTCAAAGAGAGTAGAAGGGACTGTACCATTTAAAACTGCCCCTTTCTGGAAGTGCTGGAGTCAAACGGGAAACAGTAAAAGGCTCTCTCCTAATTTACTCTGTTTCAAGAAACTGCCCCCAAGCAAGATAGCAAGTACTTCCATATCTGCCTGATGCCTTGCAAGACTGACTTAAAGAGATCAAGCACTTGGGTGCCCAAAGAAGTAATGTCTGAAAAATAATGTATGTATATTAGTTTGGACAGCTAAACCATCTCAGAGAACAATGCCTTTTGACTTTATCACAGATGAGATTTTTTCCCATTTATGGTAGTCTTTTCAGTAGCAAAGAACTGGAAATGATGCAGGCCTTCAGCTATAACCCAGTGTGTAGCCCAAGACTAAGTTACTTTTCTCCTGAATCCAGATAAAAGCAACTTATTCATTTTTGGAACAATATCACATTGCAAGCTTGCACCCGTGATTGTCTTCTACCATTTCCATATATGCTGTTCTTTACTAAAAATCATCTGCCATTTGTAAGTCTACATGGTATTATTTTTCACCTAAATTCTGCCATTGCTTAAGACACTTCTCATTCACTTAAGCCAAGTTCCTCACTTTTGTGCAAATACTCTCATTTCTCTGTCTTTCACTGCATTTCTTTTTTCTCCTAAAGTACCAGTTCCCCATCAAACAGAGTCCTTCTTTTAGCCTTGAGGCAGATATTTAGTTCATCACCATGAGTGAGTTTGCTAAGATCATTAATGAACCTCTTATTTCTCCCAGTAGACTTGTTTTTAATTGATACATTAGACAGCAACACGCTAAATGAAGAATCTGGATCCCATTTCTTAGTTTGCTGTTGGATCATTTGTGTTTTCTTTTTGTCTATGGGGCATACTCTGCATTCATGTGCATCTCACAAAATACCTCCAAGTGCCTTATATGTGGGATCGTTACGGAATGGCTGTCAATCAACTATTGCAATATGAAGTGCATACTATAAAGTATAAAATCAATGAGAAGTCGATGACAAAACTCCATTTCCTCCTCTGAAGCCAGGTTTCATCCATAGTGATATCAGTTGCTTGAATTATTCATAGTATGCTAGAATTAAGGCAGTGTGCATAAGCCCATGTTTAGATGACTGTTTCTGGTCACTTTTCAGAAAATAATGAAACGCCTGATTAAGCGGTATGTACTGAAGGCTCAGGTTGACCGAGAAAATGATGAAGTCAATGAAGGCAAGTGGATTTTTACAATTGTTACAGATTAGAGCGTGTAATGTTATTGCATAGTTCCAAAATAATACGTCCGGTAAGATGGTTGAGCTTGGGTAACATCCTCTGGAGAGAGCATGTTCAGGCTTACAGGAAGGTGAGCAGCGGTGACTCCGAGCCACCTTTATGCTCTTGAAATTCTGACACTGTCACCTCCCTTTGCAGGATACACGCACCATAGGATCTATCTTTATGAACTCCTGTCCTGCCCCATAGCTGTACCTATGCTTGCTTTATGGCACCCAAAGTATTGCGAATTTCTAGTCTTGTCTTGGGGTCTAAGTAAAACAGTTTCTAACTTATTGCCCATGCCTATCCTGAGGACTTTTTTTGAACTAGGTAAGGATATGCATGGCCATGCTGCCAAGTAAGAATTGTAAGCAGATGGAAAAGATTCTCCTAATACCTCCTTGCTGCTACTCTCCTGGAAATGCCCTATGTATATTGAGATCTTTGTGTGAAGAGGGAAGAGACTTGAGAAAAAAGAACTTTCCATTCATCGTTGCTGTTGGCACTATTACCATAAGCACAGATTTTTTTCCTGTTAGCTGAATATTAACTCCATCAATGCACTGATACCTTAGGCAGCTTCCAACACATTCAAGACCAAGCACACCTTAAGGGATGACTTACTTGATTCAGTATTACTAACAAGAACTTTTTCCTCTTTCTAGGAGAACTTAAAGAGATTAAGCAAGATATTTCTAGTCTCCGCTACGAACTCCTAGAGGAAAAGTCACAAGCTACTGGCGAGCTGGCGAGACTGATCCAGCAGCTGAGCGACAAATTTGGGAAGAACTTAAATAAGGACATTTGATGATGAACAAAGAGAAAGACAACTAGTTTTATAAACATTGTTCAGTCTCAACCAGCATCTTAGGAGGGCAAAACAGTGCAAAAGATGGGTACTGCACACTCAACTTTTGCTAACTAGCAAGTATTGGTAGGAGCACTTTGCATTACTCCTGTGTTTGGTGAATTACCAATTAAATCCTTTATGATATGGAAGCGACTTACTGGTAAAAATACATGCCCTTTGACATCAGAAATAGATGCACCATTTCCAAAAGGTAATCACGCTTACCCTAGATAGGAAATACACCTTTAATTAAAGGCAAAAAGGCCAAATCTTCACCCATCTAGCTCTGCTGAAGGCAACACAGTTGTGCTGATTTATATCAGCTCAGAGCGAACTGATTAGAATTGGGTGAAGTCTGAAGAAGAAATGTGCCATGCATATTCCTTGAAAAATTTTTAAAAAATTCCTGTTCTTGGGTGTGTGTTCTCCGTTTAAGCTAACTTTGAACAGCACTGTGGTTAATGAAAAGCAAATGAGAAATCACCTGCTGAAATGAGCGAGATGGTGTGCCGGGTAGAGGTCATATATTTGATTAGGCTGGATGATACAGCTGGAAAAAATGAGCGAAGCTTGCTGGAAAAAGAGTCCTTTTGTCCCCCTGCTTGAATTTGCTGAAGGGATTCCCAGCCAAAATCTCCTGTCTGCCTTTTCCAGCTATATTAGCTAGTCCACTAAAGAGATATGATCTCTTTATACAGACTTTGCCTCTCTTTTATCCTTAGATGATCCCAGCTTCAACAACAGTATACTGAAATACTCGATGATATGAAATTCGCTTCCCAGGAATACCCACACCAGAAACATTATACATTGCGCTAACTTGTTCAGTTCAAGGAAGAAAAGTAATCCAGTGACAGCTACACAACCGAGCTCAGCTTTTGGATTCCAGAGATCAAATAGCAAGCCATAGGATGAGACAAATCTCGAAGAACATAGTCCAATAGCTTCAGCCCTTTAAATCAATAAGAAAAGTCTTCAATTCCACTGAAGACATTCTGATGAAAAAAAGGAAAAAAAGGAAAAATCATCAAAGAAATGATTGTCTTCTGTGTTCAGCTCTTACACAGGAACAGAAATGAATTAAAACTGTTTTAAAGGCTGCAGTGATACAAGTACTCAGATTGTACTTTTACAAAAGGAAAGTGATCGGTCTGTGCAATGCAACTGCAAACTTGGATTGCTTTTTTTTTTTTTTTTAAATTTAGCTACATGATTTTGACTATTTAAAGCACACCTTACTACTTGGGAACCACTAAACTGTACTGTTTGTTTACAAGATACACCTATAAGATGACCATTGCATTTAGATATCAGCTAAGAAAAAGAAGCAGAACCAGAACGTGACCTGTGATCAGTTCTTAAGTGCCAGATGAGAACACAGATAGCCTAATAGAATAATAGTTATATTTGTTAAAAAAAACACAAAAAACAAAATAAAAAAGTGTACTGTATGTAGATCTGTTTAGAGAAAAAGCAAAATACTGTATTTTTACCTTTAATAAGATTATCTTGTATACTGTAATATTTTTACCTAAAAATGGGAAAAAATAAAATTACCTCATAATATTTTGTTGTACACTGAGTGAAATATTTGCCTGATCTTTTGCATATTCAGTACATGGATATTTTGGCAGCTTTCTGTGGTGTGCGGGCAATGAAATCATCGTGTGAAGTAATTTTGCTACAGGAAATCTAAAGCCTGAAAAAGTTAAAAAGCAAAAAAAAACTAAAATAAATTTAAAGGCAGTAAAACTAAGAAATTAGAGGTTCTATGACCAACCATAATCTGCAACAGTGACTCCTTATTTGTGGTGCTGAATTTGAAATTATTGTATCCTTATCAGTGCATTTGTAAAATTATCTTCTACCTGACTGAGACCAGAAATTTAGGTAAGCTAGCTTCACACGTGCATCCTTCTGGTACTGAGTTTGCAGCTGAAAGTTAAATGAGTAACATTTTTGCAGTAAATTTAGAGGCTTTGGTTGAGGACATAGCTGAAACTGCGTTTCTTTCTGGATTATCTAGTCCAGAGAAGTGGTACTTCACAGTACTCCAGCAGAGTAGCCTTTCCCATAGCTATTTGGAAACATAGCTATTGTTTCCAAATGTGGGAAATCTGCTGCCTTTGCATTATAGTGCTTGCAATGTAATATCATTATAAAACACTTAGATGCCAATGTTCATGAGAAGGTGACAAATGCCTGCATACGACAGACGTAAATACAACAGTATTTGCAAGAAAGCTAACTCACTGGTCATCACTTTGGGGTATCTTCCTCTGCTTAAAGCAGAAAATGTTGCTGATTGCAAATATTAGACTGTCACCATGAGAAGAGTAGGAAAAAATGTCAAGTCTGTACCTGGCAAAGGAAGGCTTTGCAACAGGGATCTTTGCAATGAGAGGACATAATCGTCCCTGAAGGCACCCTGCCCTCGCTGCAGGATCTGCCTGGGGTAGGGTTTGGGGCACTGGGCAAGTGCCTCGTGGGCTGCTGGTGGTGCCGCAGCTGGCACCCTGGGAGGTTGGCTGACGGGGAGGGATCACCTTGTCTGCCAAGTACCGCTATCCTGTTTTTGTTTTTTGTTTTAAATTTTCCTGAATTGTAAGGAATAGCTTTCCTGGTCATATCGCTATTTTTCCCCCTTCCAGCCACTGTGTAAAGCTCTCTTCATTTTTGGAAAACCAGCTCTGTTGCCACAGTACTATCTTAAAGATATGTTTTATTACAGCTCTAAACCTGGCTCTTGATCAAAATCATTGCTTTAGCCTTCCCATTCAGTATTCTAACGTCCTCTAGGAATTTAAGCAGAATTATTCTAGGTAGAACAAGTTACCCATAATTTCCACTTCTCATGGCATTGCATGCCAAGTTGCATGTGAAAGGTAAGAACTGCTACAATGCACTTACATTTCGTATATTTAGACGCAAGTCAACAAAAGGCCTGCTCTAAAGTCCAGCAGTGCCTATAGGCTTGTTCTCCCGATGCTGAATATTGCAGTCAATGCATGTTCCGGTCAGCACAATTAACAACATACTGTGAACAGCTTCATTGAATGACGTGACCCTACGCAGGGCATACGTGTTCCCAGCCAGTTGCCACCTGCACCTCAAGTGCGTAAAGGCAGGCGGGCAGTTCTGCCACAGGCAGGTAGTTAGCATGCTGTTCTGCTCACAGTAATTTGCTGTGAATGACCACAATACTTTTCTAAGACTCCAGAAGGAGAAGCGCGGGGAAAATATTGTAAAAAAATGTAATCCTCCCCCCACCCTCTTTCACATTTACATCCCATGAACTATGAAAGTATTGAAGTTCCTTATATAAATATTCATGAAAAGCAAAACCCCACTTCATCAGAGTGGTTTTTTTTTCATCTAGTCCCAGGAATACACACATAGAAGCTGCATACAACTTATTAATATTCTATCAGCAGAAATGATGTTAAATTCCTTGCACGGTTTATTCTCCAAGCTCTGTTTATAAGAAATTAAAATTAAAAAGCCTTACTAAAAGATCCCTGAGAGAACCAAGAGAATTTGAAGAAGAAAAATCAGCACAGAAGGATCCCAGATCACATCAGACTCGGAGTGTGTAGGTAACACACTCTCCCATCCCTGGGGGGACCCCATGGCAGGCCAGTGTTGCACAGAGCCACCTGCCAGTTTAGGTTTAATCCAGTTAGAGCAGTGCTTAGCTTTGGGCTTCAAGTGTGAGAGTTAATATTCCTTGGACAAATTCATACCACTAAGGGTATGAAGGCTATGCCCAAACCATCTGTAGATAAAGAACTATGACATTTTATGGGAAATAGAGGGGTCAAAGACAGGTTAAAGAAACTTAAATTCATCTGCACAAGGAAGAATATTCTTTCAAGAGACCTTCCTAATTCTTCTAACTAGAAGTTAAGCAGGCGAACCGTGAAAGAGGGAACGAAGGCATTCACTAGCCCAATTCACTGACCACCCCCCCCCATATGTTCAGTCAATTGTTCTTGTCTTGCAAAGACCAAACCAGTCAGCTGCCGCTAACAGAAATGGGGCTAACAGCAGAAAGAATTAGCATGCCTTTTAAAGTAGCTGGATTGCAAAGATGCAAGTCTTTAATCAATGGAGCTGCCCAAGGGCATCAAGCCATCATGCCATTACTTTCAGCCACATAGGATGGGCCTTGAAGCCCACAGGGTGACGGTGACATTTTATACATAGCTTTGACCTCAGATCTGGATTAATTTTGCCCATAACTTTACAGAGAAGTGCCACTGTCCCCCGTTCCCCACAAGACACCATTTAAAAGTAGAGAAGCAAGAACGGTGTAATGAATAATCGCTTAGAGGATTGCTTGCATCTCGATTGGAGCTTACAGCACACTACATTGTCACTGAGGCTTTATTTTCAATTAATGTACTGCAGAAATGTACCTCCAGTGAGCCAAAAGCAACTGACCTAATTTAAAGACATCACAGATTAAGGAAGACTCAGCAAGGACAACCCAGAAGGCAGTCTTTTACCACAAATGCTGGGAGGCACGTTCAGCATAGATAGGGCTTCAAACACATTCACTGGCCAGTGGCGAATCCTTCCCTTCCCTGACACGTGGGCTGGACCCAAGGCTGTGCTGGAGACATGGTCTTCAGGTGGGGGACAAATTGGGGGAGCATCTGTGCCAGCATGGCAGGACAGGTCATGCCCGCAGAGCACCTCTGCTGGTTTTCACACCCTGAGGAGGAACCTGGCAAGATCTTCATTAAGGAAGAGGCAGATCAATCTAAAGCCTGGTTTTTAGAGGCTGTTAAACTACCAGATGCAATCAAAGGCTGCATTGCTTTTCTAGCAGGCTGCTCTGCATCAGAAGCAATCCGGTGGCACGCGCAGGCTGGCAGGTCTTTTCACTCTATTTCTTAATTTGGCTTAATTAGCAAGCAACCAGGCCCTTGCTTTGGCCACAAATCTCTTACCACTATGGAAGGAGAGATGCTAGGCTCACCAGGTCCCTGTGCTCCCTTCTTCTCGCTCTTAATGCTTTCCCCCTGTTTTACCTCGCCAATGACCCTGTAAAGCCTAGGCACCAGCCTGCATGAGCTAGTAGAAAAAACATCCTTAAAGATCTCACATTTTCAGTAAGAAAGGATAAAGAGCGAGCAAGGGATATATCCATAGCTTACAATGAGGGAATGGAGGCTCAGAGAAATTCAGGGACTTGCCCTTACAGAGCTACAAGTCAGAGACCAAAAATGGATCCCTGACTCTGAGTCCTATTTCGAGATGTAATCATTAGTTTCTCTATCTCCCTCTCCCCATCCTTCTTCTCTGTAGGTCACATCCTCTGCTGTGAGGGATAAGATCTTACAGTGCCCAGTGCAAGCAGCACAAGAACTACAGTAGGAAAGAAGAATCATTACCTCAGTTATCATATATCATTTTGGGAAGTGATTCCCTAAATTGCTAGGAGGTTTTAATGGGTCCATATCAATACTGAGATAAATCTTGACTACAGTTTAATTAAAATAAAGCCAAACAGAAAGAGAGATAATGCCCAAAGGGGCAAAATAACTAAATTGGTTGTGGAATATCTAATGCCTTTAGTAGAAAGCAAAAGTGCACTCACATGAGGTCATTTGAGGGAGATATTTAACACAGACCTCAGTGTGATAAAGAGGATTTGGAAGGGCTTAGGAGGTTAATGAGTATCTAACAACCTTGTCAATATTTAACTAATATTTACTATAACACTGACTAATATTTAGTTCTCTTACTAATTGTTAATTGTTCTGCTGCAAGGGCTTAATTAGGGCTTACACAGCAGATTGGGCTGGGGGTCTCTGGTACTGAGCTGAATTTCCCTGCTGGTATAGCTGACCTTGATTCTGGGCTCTCCTCTGGCAATTAGCCCTCCGACAGTAGCGGATTTAGGCCTGTGCACAACAGCGCAGCAGTGTGAACAGTTAGGAAAGAGTAAGGGGACCTATGTTTCAGATCTTCCTTCAGACGAAGAGGTTCAAGCCTTTAATCCATACGTAAGGAAACTCTAACTGCTTGGCATGGGCAAAGAGGCACAGTTGTTATCCTGCATGTCGAAGAGGGTTTCATAACAAGTTGCACCGAAAAACAAACCAGCAACGCCCCAAAGGAAACCTCTACCTGTACCCAGTGTCGGGCAACACCGTGTTCCTTCCCTTAGAGCAGGTCTCCCAGCCACCTCTCATTTTTCTGTACTCTACACCACTTCCTATTGCAAGGGCTGTGGGGAAGGGACTCCGACAACTCAGAAAAAGGCTTTCATTCGGGGGGGAAAAAAAAAAAAGCATCCACTGAATCAAAAAGCCAATTTCGTGGAAAAGCTTTTTTTGTACAAAAGTGCTTTGGGCCAAGCTGCCTAATGAACCACAAACACAAATAACAAAACTTCATTCATCCTATGAAGAACCTTAGTGTGCACTTGCATGTAGACACAACACAGCATGATTTTTGTCCACAATACCTGAACCAGCTGAAAAAAGACAGATGATCCTTCAAAAAGCTACTCGTAAAACCACACT